CAATGAATACAGAATAAAGATTACCACAAAGCAAGAAACACAAAACAAGACTAAACAAAAGGTATTGGCTGAAGCATTTGCTTATTACGCCAACCCTTTTAACAAAGATCTTTTTGCATGCAAACCGTAACCTACATAAGTAAGAAATTGCATCTTAGAAAATTACGGGACATTTGACACTGATACCGTGTGTAAAAAAGAACCCAATTCTATCTTTAGCTGTGCGGCGCGCCGTTTCTGGGATGCGCTTGAAATATCCCGCAGCCAGATTCTATTTGAAGCAGCGACGTTCCGTTGCCGTTCCGCGCCACTGATGCCTCCATGTAGACCCCGGGTGAGACTCCAAATTCTATTTTCTGCTCCCCTCCTACCAGAGCGCAAGAGCTTTTTTTCCCCACAGAGAATGACTCAAAAGGCATTCATTCATGCTAGAAACCATAGCAAATCTATTGAAAAAAAAACGGTGAATGAGAGTTTTAAATCGGTTAAAACAGGAAATAAAACCAATGGATATGGTTTTGGAATACAAAATAGTAAAAAATAAATTCTTATAAATTAATTTTAATGGTTGACGGTGAACAAGAATTAATCAAATCAGTAGTCCACTTTTACTTTGAAAGCCAATCACATGGGAGGATACCAAAACCGTCTTTCTGATTCAAGCCTAGAAAATTCAAAGCATTTAATCAAGTTAAAAATGTAACTGGAAAATCAGTTAATTGTTATTCTCTGAGTCTTGATTAGGAAATGAAAATGCAAAACAACAAATGCTCGATGCTACGAGTGTAACCCGAGACTTTAATGTCTGTTTTCGTTCACTTCTTCTGTCGGTTGTTAGGACGGACGGTTCCAGAGAACCTTCATGAACAAATGAAGTTAGTAAAAGCATCATCCACTCTCACAAACCTGACAGTAACACAAGACCTCCAGCACAAACATGTGCACGCGTCTACGCACAGGCACTATTTACGCAGGTCACATCAGCCCCAGTAAGTGAATTATATGAATATCCTCAATATCTGTAATCCACAATATTATTCCATAAATTTATGTCTTGAGTCACACACCCGTCATTTCACAGGTGCTCACCAGATTTGTGTGTGTGTGTGTAAATGGGATACACATGATTAATGTGTTAAAACAAGTCCTCTGCATTTTCCATTACAACTAATAAAGGGATAAAATATTTCCACCGGATGATGGATGAACTAGCCCGTTCCTCACTGTCAGTCCATTTTTTAAGCAAACCCACCGTTCACGGGTAAATAAGAACACACGTGTTTGCCATCGACTGCTAACCACCGACACATTTAGCAAGACGCTGATAACATTATCAGTTTGATTTATGGGGCTTTACGGAAACACAAATTCAGTATCTGTCAGTTTACACTATAATGGCTGTTTGAAGCTCCACTTCGTGCCCAGTGTTTATCAGGCTAATATATCCTGTTGGGTAATTTGCAGAGATGTGGATGAAAGCGCTAAAAGAAATAAAAGGTCTTGCCTTCCTTGAAGGAGAACAAATCACCTACCAAATTTTGTGCCATTTTTGTAAACTCAGAACATTTTATATTGGGAAATGATGCGGTCAGTCAAATGTGAAATATATGATGTCACATAAAATTGCAAGATCTTGTGGAATTTCTCTAAAGTGTAACTCTTAACTACTAGACAGTTGAAGCCCTTTTTGTGTTTTTCAGGTCTATTTGTCAGACAGTTGGTGTAAATTAAACAATTCCCATCCAGCGGTTCATGAAAAGGTCCATGTGTATCATGTGTGCACACATTCAGGCTTTTGTCTTGTGGTGTGCCTGCAGAACTTACCTGCTGCATGTGACATCAACCCCTCCATGGTCTTAGTGTTCCAGCTCATCAGCCAACACCACAGCCATCTCAGCTCTGCAGTAGCCTGGGGAGTATTTCCTCTTTGTGGGTCGAACCTAAACCTGGTCCACGGCAGGTAAAGTATCTTAAAGGTACATGAATCTTGAGCCAGTAGGTGATAAAATTAGCTTTTAGAAGGTGAGTAAAACTTCTCAGCCCCCGCCGATCCTTGTTGGGAAAATACCACATTTGAAACTTGAATCTCTCCGTACCGGTGACCTGATGTCTAACAAAGTCTTGCGAGAAGCAGTAACGCATCACGGTGGAGCGTCAGAGAAAACAAAGAAAAACTAACGTCCGACTGGAAGAGGGGTCACACGGACTCAGCGTTGGGACGCATTTATCAGAGACAAAGAAGAATGCAGACCTCCCTTCATGCAATAGCGTTTGTGAACATACAGGTGCTGGCCAGTAAATTAGAATATCATCAAAAGGTTGAAAATATTTCAGTAATTCCATTCAAAACGTGAAACTTGTACATTATATTCATGCAATGCACACAGACCAATGTATTTCCGATGTTTATTACGTTTAATTTTGATATTTATAGGTGACAACCAATGAAAACATCAAATCTGGTATCTCAGAATATTAGAATATTCTAAAGGCCAATGAAAAAATGTTTGTTTCTCTAATGTTGGCCAACTGAAAAGAATGAACATGAAAAGAATGTGCATGTATAGCACTCAATACTTAGTCGGGGCTCCTTTTGCCTCAATAACTGCAGTAATGCGGCGTGGCATGGACTCGATCAGTCTGTGGCACTGCTCAGGTGTTATGAGAGCCCAGGTTGCTCTGATAGTCGTCTTCAGCTCCTCTGCATTGTTGGGTCTAGCGTATTGCATCCTCCGCTTCACAATACCCCATAGATTTTCTATGGGGTTAAGGTCAGGCGAGTTTGCTGGCCAATCAAGGACAGGGATACCATGGTCCTTGAACCAGGTGCTGGTGGTTTTGGCACTGTGTGCAGGTGCCAAGTCCTGTTGAAAGGTGAAGTCTGCATCCCCATAAAGTTGGTCAGCAGCAGGAAGCATGAAGTGCTCTAAAACTTCCTGGTAGACGGCTGCATTGACCCTGGACCTCAGGAAACAGAGTGGGCCAACACCGGCAGATGACATGGCACCCCACACCATCACTGACGGTGGAAACTTTACACTGGACCTCATGCAACGTGGATTCTGTGCTTCTCCGCTCTTCCTCCAGACTCTGGGTCCTTGATTTCCAAAGGAAATGCAGAACTTGCTTTCATCAGAAAACATAACTTTGGACCACTCAGCATCAGTCCAGTCCTTTTTGTCCTTGGCCCAGGCGAGACGCTTCTTGCGCTGTTTCTTGTTCAAGAGTGGCTTGACACACGGAATGCGACACCTGAATCCCATGTCTTTCATGAGTCTCCTCGTGGTGGTTCTTGAAGCGCTGACTCCAGCTGCAGTCCACTCTTTGTGGATCTCCCCCACATTTTTGAATGGGTTTGTCGTCACAATTCTCTGCAGGGTGCGGTTATCCCTAGAGCTTGTACACTTTTTTCTACCACATTTTTTCCGTCCCTTCGCCTGTCTGTTAATGTGCTTGGACACAGAGCTCTGCGAACAGCCAGCTTCTTTAGCAATCACCTTTTGTGTCTTGCCCTCCTTGTGCAAGGTGTCAATGATTGTCTTTTGGACAGCTGTTAAGTCAGAAGTCTTCCCCATGATTGTGGTGCCTTCAAAACAAGACTGAGGGACCTTTTAAAGGCCTTTGCAGGTGTTTTGAGTAAATCAGCTGATTAGAGTGGCAGCAGGTGTCTTCTATATTCAGCCTTTTCAGAATATTCTAATTTTTTGAGATACCAAATTTGGAGTTTTCATTAGTTGTCACTTATGAATATCAAATTTAAATGTAATGAACATTGGAAATACATTGGTCTGTGTGCATTGCATGAATATAATGTACAAGTTTCACGTTTTGAATGGAATTACTGAAATATTTTCAACCTTTTGATGATATTCTAATTTACTGGCCAGCACCTGTAACTTCAACATGTGATCAGCTGGTTTGAGAACAAAGGTGCAGAACGAGAGGACGGGGAAACAGTTCGCTTTTATGATGGTGACGTACACTAAGGGGCTGTTAAAGCAAGCCCAAACTGCCTAGTGTCCCTTTAACTGTTGGCTTGCAAGAATAAGTAGCAGCAACTGAGAGTGAGAGAAATCTGAAATGTTGACTACTTGTTCTTTTTTTAAATTTGATCGGTCACATTGAGTTTAACGCGCAGGCTGAACGTGAAAGTGTTTTTTCTATTTCCAGCAACATAGACAGGGAAATGCTCGGATGAGAAAAGCCAGTAAATTCTAGATGACATCAAATTAGCGTTCGTGGACTCACCCATGTTGGCTTGCAACGGGGAGTGGCTGTTGTTGATTTAGCACCCAGGAGAGAGTAGAGCACGTCTCTCCTAGCATTGGCTAACCTAGCTAACTTCTACTTCCTGAAACAGGAGCAGCAAAGCATTCTTTCCCCACAGAGATCGACTCACCAGGCATTCATTCATACTAGAGACCAGAACAAATGTTTTGAAACAAGGAGCGTAGGCCTGTTGGACGTGCACTTCAACCATCAAGTATTTAATCACATCCAGTAATGTGTTCTCAACTCAGGTTCAAAACTCCACTGCTCAGAGGGGAGCCCAGCGCACGGCTGGGCCAGTTCAAGAAAATAGAAGCGCTTATCTCCTCTGATCTAGACCACTGGCTGTGCAACCTGTATTTTCAGGTGCGTGCTTGTACTCGCAATCACGTGTTTGTGTTTCTTTAGAAGCTGCATCTTTTGTTTATTCCTATACATTCATCAAGATTCACGGTTCTATGGGAATCTGTGTGCATGGAGTTAAAAAAAAAGATTGCAACCTTTTACTTGATTATTTAGGACGTTTGGAAGGCAGGATGAGGTTGGATATTTGGATTTCCTACGATAAAGCGTGTGCACAGATAAATAGAAAATTGTCCCCAGAGAGAAAACCAAAATGCACATCTTTACCCAATAATTCCAGATGCTTCAGAGCTGATGCATTGATTAGATTAGTAAACATCTTAATTGAATTAAAAGCCAGAACAATGCTCTTTGTTGTTTGCTCTTTATCCCTTTGACTGTGACATGCTGTTTGGATTACTCTATCGTTACTCTTGTCTAAAGTTGCTTTGATTCCCAGGAGTTTGATTTCTTAATTCCTGTTTTTGATTTTTCCATCTTTGCTGAACACAGTGAAAATACTCCTACACAGATCTTTATAGAACTATTAGAAATGTTATTGCTTCCTGTTTAAAGATTCTAATCATTTGCATCTTGGTTCATCGGAACGGAATAACTTGTGCTTACTGGAGATCCCAGGGCACAAACACGGCCTTTCTTCTCTGTTTCAGATAAAAAGGCTCCCTTGTGGAACATCTGGAGAACCAGGGCTCTTTGTTGCACCATCTACTTCCTCCAGTAACTCCCCCGTCATGTCCAAACCAGAGGTTCATTATGATCGATCCTTCATCCAGATGCCACACCAACCACAACCCTCGTCACACTCTCGCCACCTTTGCTCGGGCCCGAGCTGCAGAGCAGGAGAGCCCACTGCGGCGCCTTCTCACCAGGGTTCGCCTCTCCGCCTGTCAGCTGATTCTGCTTGCTCTTCTTCATCTCTGCCAGGTAGGAGTCCAAAAACTGCCCACTAAGCCACAGTGGGGAGAAAATGCCACATTAATGTCACCAGCTGTGGGACAAGGAGAGCAGCAGCTCCCCACTGATGTGAATGTGCTTGAGGGTAAATTTAAATGTAGACAGGCGAGAAAGATGGCCAATAAAGGCATTATACAAACATAGAGTGCCTTTTATTAGATTTTACCCCAAAACAAACATATATTGCATTAATGTTAGCATAGGCAAATATTTAAGCAGCATGACTGGCGCCGAGTCGAGACGTCCCTGATGCATTCAGGGATCATCACCATCACTACTCCCAACAAACCAAATCATCTCCTTGTATTCCTGCGCCTCTACGCACAAACGTCCATATTCTTTTGCACACTCTCTCATTGTACATGACTTGTATTTTGTTAGAAATGTAATGTTTCTCTTTTTTCTATTATTGCTTATTTATTTTCCTTTTAGTGTGCTCTGCGTGCATTCATTGTCATTTTGCTGCGGAAATCGCTCCACTGAGCAAATAAAGGATTTTTCTGTTTGTTTCGGTTCATTCAGATGAACTTATTCAGCAGAAGTTTAAAGCGCACGCTCACTGAGAAATCGTTTTTACTTGTTATTTTTAAAAACACGATAGGTCACTGAGTTTTCCATGCAGGCTGTAACTGAAAGCAGTCTTCCTGAATTAGCTGCTTAAAAAAATAAACAAATAGACGGGGAAACGCTCAGATCAGAAAAAGCCACGCAGACCTACGTCAGACTAAATCAGCACGTCGTCATCCGCCTTGGCTCACAACCTGGAAGGCTGTTGTTGATTTTTGCAGCCAGGAGAGAGCAGAGCACACCTTGGCAAGTAAAGGCTAACATTAGCATTAGCGACTCCACAACACAGTTGAACTCCATCAGGCCCGTGTCACTCGACTCGTGGAGATAAAACATGGAGGCAGTAGAAGAGTCACGTTGCTGTTAGCCGAGATGTCCGAATATCATGATCAGTAACGAGCAAGACTCAAAATCCTGCCATTTACTACCCCCCCCCCCCCCCCCCGGTTAAATTCTACTTCCTGAAACAGGAGCGCCAGAGCTTCTTTTCCACTGAAAATGACTCACAAGGAATTTGTTTATGCCACAGCAAAGGAATTGAAAAAAAGACTGAAAGACAGCTTTACCTTAATCAAACATAATCCAAAACCATCTTCGAGAGTCCTTGTTCAAATGTGCAAAAGTCCAAACAAAAATGTCTGTTATTGATGAATATTGATCTAAATTTCTTGTAAAAGTCGGAAAGACGTTTCAGTTCCGACTTTCTCCCTTTGAATCCAGATCATCAGCACATTGGAGGTGAAACCAAACATTTTAGTGTTTTTTACAATTCATATCCTGTTACATGAAACATGAGCGGTGAAGATTATAATCCACAATCTGCACAATGAAGCATTTTTAATAGTTCTGACAAGGTCACAACACATTTATAGCCATCCTTTACTTTTTATATCGTTGTTTTCACCTTTCCTTCCAACATAACGACATTTGTCAAAAATGTGAGCTCATTTGGTATTAATTTAATATCCCTTTTCTTTCTCTCTTTCCGTCTTTGCATGCACAGCTCATCTTTATTTAACAGTTCTCAAAAGTTTCTGGGGTGCTCTGCTTTAAACATCACACAGGCTTTTTAATTACAAATGAGTTGTGACAGGTCTGCTGGGTAGCACCCTGGCCCATTTTAAACGTGATGCTGGCTGACAGCTTGGCAGTGTTCTCCCAGCACCGAAACATGTGGAAGAAATTGGTCTTTTACATTTCACAGCTTGTCGCTTCCTCCGCTAGCTGACCTGTGACCCCCCACAGAGATCCTAACGCCCACAAGGGAAGTGTCCCCAACGAACTGACTGCCTTTCCAAAAAGAGAGACGGCGAGCAAGAGAGGGAGAAATGGTTTTTACTGTGGGGGATTCAGGTTCTACCTCGAGAGGCAAAATGCTCCGTGCTGCAGCGCTCTCACACATGCAAAGGCATGGGTGAAGTCACACCGCCAGGTGAGGAGGTCTTGGAGGAACTGAACGTGATCCGTGAGTAAAACAACGGATCAAAAGATGTCCCGTACGACACCTCGTCGGCGTGGTTTTCTAAGCCGGTCTGACGTTTTAGCCTCATTTCCATACAGATCAGTTCAAGTTGCATTACCTCTGGAGTGAATTATTGCATTCAGATGGGCGGTATGTCAAGACTGAAGGAGGCGATTGGACGGACAACTTTAACCTAGCCAAAAATGGAAATCCAATTCAGGAGGCTAAAGAGGAACGAATTATCCTCCTTTGCTCAGTTCTTAGTCAAATCTTGGGGGTTTTCGGAGGTTTACTTCCTATTTCATGCCTTCATAACGTGTGATGTGTGCAGACCGCTTTCTCTGGATTTTACTCTTTGGTCTCAGGGTTGGGACCAGCATTCAGAGACTCCTTGTCACTGATAACGTACACGAAGCAGAGCTTGACAGTGAGAGAGGAAGTTTGCATTCCTGAGGCCTGGAATTAATTAATCCCAACTGGGAAAGTAAAAAAAGTTTTACGGAAGAAATCTGACATCCCAATCCATGAAAATACGTCTGACAGGCTGTGATCGGAGAACGAGAGGATTACTGTAAATGCTGCTGATTTGGGATGAATTTAATAATCGGGATAATAATCTGATTTACCTCAGATGACTTGTCTTAGCATAATGAAGTGTTTTTGGCTTCTGATTTGCTAGAGGCACAGTGGGTTAAGTGACCTTTCACATTAACTGAATGATCCAGTTACACTGGGTTTGTTTGAACCCAAATGACTAATTAGATCAGTGTCTAGTTTCACGATCGCCTGTAGTGGATGACTCTGAGCACGCAGATGGGTGCCATATCTGTATCACTTATTTTCTAACTTTATTTTTGCCTTTTGTTTATTTTTTTTAAGAAAACTCATCTCAACATCATCCCCTTGAGCAGTAAAGGAAATTTCAAGGACTCCTCATCTGATGTCTTTCTTTGGAGTGCTGCCATGCACTCTCAGGATTTTCTCCCCTCCAGGTGACACCCAGCTATCAGCGTCTCCAACCACGTTGTTGCATCATGCCCGTTTAAATCAGTCGGGCTTTTGCAGCTGCGGTTCAACAATGTCCAAGTTCCTAAATGAGGGCATAAATCAAGTTTAGAGACCACGGGTGGAGGGTAAATGCAGAGTCTATGGCAGTAATCCCTAACATTTTTCTGTGTCATGGAACAGTTTTGTACAAGACAACTTTTCCGTTAGCTAGTTGGGGAAATCAGGAGCACAACAATATGTTTGGGATTAAAGGAGATGAATTAGACACCGCTCACCTTGTTTGTCCTTTTGCGAGTCTCTACTACCTCTGTACACACTCCAAACATGAGAAAAAAAACCTTTTCAGAATTATTTAGCTAAAACAAGTCGTTTCAAAAAGCCCCCATTTGTGATGTCACAAATGGGGAAATTAGCACAGAACCACCTCTCATGTAAAAACAGAGAGCTGCTGCTGAAGGGAACAGCATCAGCTCTACTCCGAGCACCTCCCAGATATCAGTTTCTCAGCTTATAGCAGCCAGAGAGGAGGAAGGGTGGGCGTGGCCAGCTTGACTTCTTAAGCTTGGTTTATGCTTGACGCATTCACTTTCCGCGCGGTGATGCGGCTCGCGGATGGAACGCGCTTCACAACTCGCAGTGTTTATGGTTCGTGCGGCTCGTCTCTGCGGTGAGCCAATATTCTCCCAAACTGTAGGGGGCAGCATGGAGCTCTACGGCATGCATCAAACACTACACCATAGTAGAAGTAAAAATTACTGTTGTTTACAACATGGCATTCCAGCATTTTTAACAGCGTCCTCGTCTTTTCCGACAGTGCGAGCTATTTCTCTCCAAGAATTATTAACAACATGTTGATCACGGTGATCTCTGAGCTGAAACATACAAATGTCTGTATTTACGAACCTCTGCCATACTAGTTCTTGCCGGTCCGCCATGTTTTTCCGCGTCCGACCGTCCGCGTGGTTAGAAATTTTCCTAGGTGCGCGTTGCGGAAATTTTGGGCCGTGCGGAGACGCGGTGGAGGGGCGTGGTTGTTAAAATGACGCAATTTCGCCGCATGGAGCCGTGCGGACCTCGCAGACGCGTCAAGCATAAACCAACCTTTAAAGTGACAGAGACCTGAAATGGCTCATTCTGGAAGGTACTGAAACTGTCGCTTAAATACCTTTAAGTTAGAGGGATGTAGTGCAAAGAACTTGATGAACATGTTTAGATTCGACCATAAAACTACTGTAATATAAGAAAAGAGACATACACCCGATCACACACCTGAATTCATCCTCCAGAACCGTGGCGTGGCTGGTCTGGGGGCGTGGTCTGATAGCGTTCCCGGACCAGCCAGCTGATAAATGACACAATGACAGAAAGTTGGAGGATTCTCTGAGGAAGACTGAAGCCTTCAGTCAAAACCATCAGCAGGTATGAAAAATATCTCTAAAACCACAATGTTTGTCTTACTAAAAGAAATAAAGTAAAATCATAATCAGTCCCCTTTAAGACAACCACAGGTTAAAATAGCACAGATTATTGGATTTTGTTGCATAAAAAAAATCAGTAAAGAGAATCTCAATCTTTATACAACACATGACATAATTTCTGCTTGTTTCTGTTACATACAAGTGAACATTAGTATTCAGCAGGTGCCTGTGGCTTTCATTAAAGATGCAGTGGATTAAAAAGAAACTGCTCTACTGTATGGAGCATCACCAATTTCACAAAGCATTACAGCAGCCTTAACGCACCATCCTGTTGTGGACTCATTGGCAGTCTGCGAGTTGTTGATCTTCAATTCTTTTGCAAATCTCGAACAGCCATTTGGCATTTGGGGCCTCAGTGTGTGAAGACTGGCATCTTGCGTCGGCTTCACCTCAGCGCTAACGCAGGAATGGGAACTCTGCAGAGGTGCAGCCTTCGGGGCTCTTTCATAACTCGACCTGACTTTGTTCAAAAGCAGCACTCCCTTGCATTCTTACCCTTGAAAATGTTTGTGCATATATGCAAGTGTCCGCGTTACTGTCTTTGCCTTTCGGTGTGTGGGTGCATCGATGAGTGCGTGTGTGTGCTGGTTTCAACATAGCTCAGAGCACATGGGGGATAACAAGGAGTTTGTTGTTGGCCTAGGGTGCCCGTAGAGGCTGGAGTTGTGGCAGCTCCAGCGCTCCGAGTTCACGGACGTAGCCCTCAGCTGTCAGAGCTGTCGATGCAGCCTCCGCACTGATTTGGGTTCCACAGCATCTGACCACTAGCGAGCGGGGCCCGGTGTAATGAGTGTGTGTGAGTGTGTTTGGTGGAATGAAAGCATTCTAATCCATAGGGGAGTCCAAGTCCATGAGTTTATGGGGTTGTTGTTTTTGCTAATAGAGGCTGAGAGGTTTGTGTGTGCATGTGTGTGTGTGTGTGTGTGTTTGCACGAAGGAAATATGGTCATGGGTTGCATTGCTCTGTCTCAGGTTATCTGCACAAGGACAAACATGTTGTTGGCTGCACTTATTCATTTACTCCAAGTTAAGGGCAAAAATTCCACAGAATAAAACATTTCTTTTTATTTAAAATGTTTGCTTCTGATTCCGTTTTTTTTAAAATGGTGAAACAGTTTTTTTGCATCAAAGTACGGTTTGTTTACGCTCAGCATCGAGGACATTTGACTGATCTTGATGCTGACACATAACTGAGTTTGCACCTATAATGCCAAGAAAATGTTTAAATGCAGTGTAAACAATTTAATCCAGAGAAAACAGCAAATATAACCTCATTACCAAGCAACTGTGGCTCCAAATGTTTACTGGCAAAGTGGTGGTAAATAAAAACTCCATTTGTGTGAAATCTGATTTTAGAGTCACTTTAGAATAAGGATGAGCAGACTCTTGCCTCCGCATGTACTACAGTTTAGCTGTCAGAAGGATGTTTTATATGCGCCCTATATTTAAGTTATTACTGCTGATATATTTAATCCTGTGGCAAGAAAAAATATATCTTCCCCGGGTTTTGCGTTTGTATTATATAGATGTGATTGGTTCCATCGGGGGGAAAGTTTCACATGGTGAGATTTCTACACGTACCAAGCTAAGGTTTACTTAATTACAACCTCCAGGCAAAGCAGGAGCCCCTCTTTTTAAATTCTGTGAATGTTAATATGCTAAATAATGCAGATCCTCAACTCTTCAAGCATGAGCCACACATCTGGCAGCTTACCATTTAAATTACAGCAAAAAAAAGTGAGACAGATAGAGAAAAGGGGGTAACGGAGGACGGAAAACACTTTAAATGTGATTTAAGGGAGGGAGAAAATGTATTGCTACCAGATTTAATTTCTTTTTTGATTTGTCATAATTTCCTGTTACATGCATTAGATTGTTCAAACTACAGGTTGAGCTCTGGAGGAGACAGAAATGACTATTTGGAGACCGTTTCTCGAGTAAAAATCCAACTTTTTTCTAAATGATTAGGCCACAAAGACATTTAGAATTTATTTTAAAATTTGAAAGACAATTTTTATTTGAAAGTTTTAAAGCATTTATTTAGTTGCATAGAAGATTTAACCATTTTAAAGGTGCAGTGTGTAAGAATAGAGTAAGACGACATCCTACGGTCAAATTTGGTTACCACAATCTCTCTCACTCTTGTTCCGTGAGTTTCTGTTTAAAGTTACGAATCAGCCCCAGAGGATTCTAGATTACAAGCAAAGATGAGTCAGACACAGCAAGCTAATAAGTAGATAAATACGTTGTCATAGCTGGTGTTATCACTCTTGGGTGTTTTAAGGTAAGGAGCATTTACTATACTTATTACGGTAATATGCCTCGGCATAGAGGAAGTGTGTTTTTTACCATCTGCCTGACGGTAGCTTGCTGTTATAGTTCTGAACGACTCGTTTAAGGACGTAAAACACCACGTTTGACTCATTATTCACTTCACACATTTCACGGAAATATCGACTTGTTGGTAATTGAGATATTTTTAGAGGTGGCTAATTGCTTCTAATTCACGGTTAGCATTGTTAGCTCAACATTAGCTTCTAGCCTCCTTAACCCAATATTAGTGTAAAAGAAAGTGTTGCTGTGGCTTCTTATGGGCACAAGAAATAACTTTTGGCTCACTCTTGTTACCGTCTTTGGGTCTTTAAACAACTCTGATGCTTTTTGCCGACTGTAGTCCAATTACAAATGCTGGCGCTGAAGCATTAGCTCGCAGGAGACACGGCAGCCCCACACTCACTGATGGTAAACAGTTGCTACGCCCTTCCTTCTTTTATTTTGAAAGGAAAAACTGACAACCCCAACATGACTGAAACACCAAACTGCTTTAGGATAATTTCACTGCAGAAATCTTACTTTATTCTTACATACAGCACCTTTAAACATTTACATTAATTAAACTGACTGTTTTATTTGAATTTCTCAGTAACTTTATGCAAGTAGTATTTTGGATTACGTGCTTGCTATTCATTATATGTTATGTTTTCTTTTGTGATGCAGGGAAACACGAGTCCCCAGAAGCCTTTTCAGAAAACCCCGGAGAGAACCCTCTCAGGGAGAAAGCTGAAGATGGCGTTCAGTTCAAGGTACCACCGCGATTTAACAGGAGCGTGCTTCACCCGTTTAAAAAGGAGTACTGTACATTCTCTACTCTCCTTTTCCTCTGTCATCCCGCCCCTCTCTATGCTCTACACACACCTCCCTGGCTTAATATCTGAGATTTGTCAAAATACGTTTCACACTAACAGGTACTTTTCAGCCTTCAAAGCCAGTTTTGATCTGCCTGACAAGCCAAAGCAGCTCAAATTCTGTGAAATCAGCAATGCCAGTCAGGCCTTTTTTTTATTTTTTGCTTTCCTACAATTATGTGAACCCCGCCTCTTCCTGTGCCTGAGAAGACTTACACTAAATGAATGAAAGCCTGCATGTTATCTGCCATACTTTGAAGTGTTAATAGTTAAATGGCGTTTGCGGATCAGGCGTTGCCGCCTCTACGGCCGTCGCCATTGCATCTTCTTTGGTCTTTTTGTTATTTTGACATTATTGCTGCACATCAAGCCTCCACTCCTACAAGTCTTCCTTCTTGCTAACCTCCTTCTGTTCGACGTTCTCAAAGCAAATCCTCCATCGATGACCTGCTAAATAAATGAGGTTTTATATCTTTGCAACCTTCCCCGTCTTTAAGACCTCGCCACTGTCAAACGCTGTGGTGCTGAACCCAGTTGTCTAATGATTAAGTGGAGTGATCTCCAACCTGCCCCAGCCTGGGAGCACTAGGGATCAGATTTCAGCCCTTCAACCTGCAGTGCAGGCCTAATTAAAATGAATTTTCTCCAGGCAACCACTTTGCCCACAGGGCAGGAATCTAGCTCTATACGGAATCCTCTCTTAAGGTATTGCATTAAATTTATTGTGGGGAGACACATGAGAACATTGTGGTTTATATATCTCCTGCATTTCTCTCTCTCTCTCTGTTTTCCTTCCTGGTTCTTTCCACCTTTTTATTGTGATCATCACTCTGGAATCCAAGCTGGCTTTGGCGTAGATTGCGCTATGAAAACGGATGGAGCTTTTATGGGCCTCAGCCCGCTCACTACGTCCTGGGTCCAGTTTATCTGAGGAGGAGAGACAAAAAGCAAAAAAATGGAGGGCAGGAAAATAGAAAGGGAGAAAGGTAGAAAAAGGGAGGGGTAAATGAGAGAGAGAGAGCAGTTGGTTATTCCAACTGTGGATCTCATTAACATACATCAGTGTGTATGTCCCAACTTCAAGCAGAAAGGCACTAAGCCCACCCAAGGGCAACACAGACGGGGCTGACAGGGCCAGGGAAAGCACGCCGTTAACATGTTGGCGGCTTAACAAACACTATCTGCTCCCAACTACCTCGCTGAAAATGTTTTAAATCCCACCACCTCCCCGACTCCGTTCAGCTGTGTTTATGACGATGACAGTAAATGACTTGTGTGGAGCAAAACAGTGCCAGCTGCTCAAACACCACATATTTAACGCCGCCGCCACTGTACACGTTTCCCCAAATGAACTCAACTTGAAGGATGGCGTGCTGTATGCGATTTCTGCCGACATTCTTGTCTCGTGTCAGCTGAGGCGCGGGTGAGATATAGGAGAAGCCCCTGAAAATGCCACACACACTCAGACACACACATTGTCAGCGTCGCCGTGTGCATCCCCCAAGATAAATTCAAAGGTCCCGCTTCCTGCTTTGATTACAAATGACATCCGTACGTGTTCTCCCCGATTTCTGTTCCTCACAGAAGAAGCCAATCAAGAAGACAAATAGCTGTGGCCCCAGCGCGAGCGGCAGAGGTGCAGCGCCTCTGCAGGAGCGCAAACAGAAGATGCAGGAAAAGCTCTCTGCGGAGGAGATGGAGGGGTTTACGTTCTTTTTACAGTAAGTCAAAAACGTAAATGACGATTAAAAATAAAAAAGCAGGTGGGGAAAATGTGCCGGTAACACCTGCAGAGATATAGGTTAAAAAGTCAGGTAATCCCATCAAACTTGGTTCAAAATGAACGTTAAGCAGATTTAATATTAAATCATATGGAAGATGATTAAGGCCACTAAAAAAACCAGAAAAATTATTCAGATTTTAATCTCAGAAGTCATAATTCTGAGATTAAAGTTAGAAATCTATGGAAGACAAATAGGGCCACTGAAAAGAAAAAGAATTATGAATTATAAATAAGCCTTTAGCTTGTTTTGTGGAATTCTAAGATTGAATTCAGATTTCTGAGATTAAAAGTCAGACAATAAGGAGAAAGATTAGGGCCACTGAAAAGAAAAAAAGATAAAGAATTCAGATTTTATCTGAAAAGTTATAATTTTGAGATTAACGTCAAAAATCTACAGAAGAGCATTAGGGCCACCAAAAAAAAAAAAAAAGAAAAGATCAATTATTCTGGCTTTAATCGCAGAAATAAAGAAGTCATTATTCTGTGATTAAAGTCCAATTTAGTTTAAAGACATAACTCATTTTGTTTTGTTAAATGATTTTGGGTGGCCCTAATCCTCTTCCGTAAATCCAGATGTTTCGTGGCCTCATCTCCTAAAAAATCTACCCAAGTTTAAAAAAAGTTCAGTTATGTTTCATTAGCCGTAATTTAGCATTTAACAGCTAGCAAAACGTTGTTTTAATCTTAGCACAACTTTGGTCTTGTTCCTTTAAGAATACAACAAAATAATCACATTTGCACGTGGGCTCTTCTCTGAGGCTTTCAGCGTTTCGTTTTAATAAAAAATTCATTCATTTCAAACAAACGCAGGAAAAAGCCTCTTCTAAAGCAACTAGGTGCTGTCCTCTAAACCCAAACAGCCTGAGTTAAACAAATAAAATGTGAAATTGCTTGTTTCAACTAAAAGGTTGCAGGTATTTGTTTTTATGTGAATGCCGGCTGAACGAAGGGGAGGAGATTAAGCGACGCACGGCTACACTGGAGGGGCTTGGGGAGGAGGAATCAGGAGGAGAGGAAGAGAAACATAAAGTGAATTTTCCCAGGAGATTTCAAAGTGGCCATGTTTCTTCATTTCTGCCTGTTTGTAATTTATAGCTGCTGGTCACATTTTAAACAAGATCAGAGACTCCCTCCCTGACATCTTCTGAACATTCTCAGGGAATTCAAATGATCCATGCCAACAAATGACGACACAGAGACCATCTTTTCATTTCAGGGGGGGGGGTGAAAACACAAAACCCAGGCACACAAAGGGACACAATTAAACGGTTTTCACGATTATTCATAGAGCAGCATTTTACCTCTGAGCAGTAGCCGTCTGAGCGGGATGAGACGTTTCTGTCAGTTATAGGTACGGATTGTATTGAGCTGGAACTTGGGCTGGTCCCTGATGCCCCGTGAAGGTGCTGCTGCTATTGATTTCATCTTTACAAGCACTCACGTTACAGCATCTCCGAGCTAAAGGCTCCTCTCCTGCCCCCTCCTAATCAGACGATTAGAAAGATGCAGCGCCAGTGTTGAATTTGACAACAAAGGCGGGGAGACGGGAACTCGTACCCTCGCCCGTCTCCCCCACTGCGTTACTTGAATTGCTCTGGGCGCCATCGCATCACCTGAAGACTCGCAGAGATCAAGACAAAAGGGATTTCTTATGGATTTATCTTTTAATTTTATTTGTGATTTTTATCTTGTGTCTTCTGGCTTTTTCCGAGGCTCCTTTTTCCCGTCTCTCTGACTACCACGCGTGTGTTTATATTTTTGTTCTGCATATCCTGCATGTTCATGCATTTTTAGGTGAGAGGGGGGTTCATTCTGCAATGATTGAGGGATATTACTGCCATCTATTGAGCCGCGAGAGGCTTAGCTCACTGGGATTTTTGTGAAGCATCTTGACACAAATGTGCAAAGCAGAGGCTAATGAATAATTAAGAAAATACACAGAATCATTTCAGATAAGAAGAACAAAGTTAAAGGCTTGGTGCATTCTTATTAATAGTCACAAAAAGGGGCGACTTATTCAGCTACATAAAAAAACTATTTAATCTAAAGTAACTAAAAATTGTTTACTAGTAGTGTGAATAAAACTGCTATTACTTAGCAAAAATGCAATTTTGGACACAATTTATGCAACTTTATTGCTTGCAGAAAATGTTTTATGACAATAACAAATATTTTTATATCAGTTAATTAGAAAAGGTCGTTTTTCCTTTTTTTCAAAAGTCAAACTTTTTTCAATTAGGTATGTTTTTTTTACACAGTTGACTTTTTGTCTTTTAAGCTCCAGGTCTTCCTTATTATCAGCCTAACTGTCAGCCCTAACAAAAGAGGTAGAGGAAGCGCACACAAGGAACCGCCAAACCATAACTCATTGGCTTTAACTTCAAAGAAAACACAATGTACCTTTTACTGCAAGGATTGACAGTTCCAAGTCAATTCTGGCAGGATTAAAAGCATATGAAGAGAAGTCAGGAATGATCCATCGTTTTGCTTGTAAGTGTTAGGACTTACTGTAGTGCTGAGATCTGTTTGAACATGCATTCTGCATTTCTGTAGGCCTTCCAGTTTCTTCAGATCCAATCCAAAGCACTTTATTTCTCCTAGTAAAGCACCACTAATGGAAGGATGAATCGACACACTGAGTTTGAAAAATATAATCTTAATAAGAAGGTAGTAATTTGTTATTGCAGTTTACAGGTGCTGTAAAAAGTATCTGCCCATGTCAAACACGGTGACGGTAGTGTGATGGTCTGGGGATGCTTTCAGGACCCGGGCCACTTGCTATAAATGAAGGAAGCATGAATTCTGCTCTCCAGGAAAAAAAATCTTGAAGGAGAACGTCCAACCTATCACACCAAATAAACCATCCATGATGGAAAAGCCTAGCGCAGACTAGACACATCATAGCACTAGCACGAGTAGCCACACCCCGTTTTAGCCTAGGCAGGTCTATCAATGGCTCAAACAATTCTATATTGGGCCAATCACAGCGCTCTATGTTGGTAAACAGACATTGGGCGGGTTTGGCACCATTAAAGCTGTGATAGAGCACAACAACAAAGATGGTGGTGGCCCAGGAATGTGCTTATTTTAAATGTCTAGATAATTTAGACTTGAGCGTATCTTTGAGACGTGAGCAGATAGAAGTACTTCAAGAGTATGTGACGAACAGCCTTGCTGACTGATTACTGCTGCTATGAATACCTCCCATTGTTTGTTGCTATGATTGGTCCTAGCACTGTCCAATTATGTGAAAAGGCAGTTTGAAAGACAGCAATAGATTCTGCCCCTATTGAGCTCTGTCTATGGGTCATGGCCAGACTAGAGGAGGAAAACCCTCCAATGTGGGTGAATGACAGCTGCAATGGCAACTCTGCAAAACAAACTAGCTTTTTTTTTTTAGCTATTGAGAAGAGTGGGTAAAATTGTTTTGGATATCTTTAATATTAAACACACACACACACACACACACACACACACCTACACACACACACACACACACACACACACACACACACACACACACACACACATATATATATATATATATATATATATATATATATGTATACATATACATGTATATATATATATACATATACATACATATACATATATATATATATATATATATATACATATATATATATATATATATATGCGTATATATATATATATATATACACACACACACATATATATATATGTATATATGTATATATGTATATATACATACATATATATATATATATATATATTCGTATATATGTATATATATATATATTCGTATATATATATATATATATATATATATATATATATATATATATATATATTCGTATATATATATATATATATATATATATATATTCGTATATATATATAGATATATATATACGAATATAAATATAGATATATATATACGAATATATATATACGAATATATATGTATATATATATATATATATATATATATATATATATATATATATATATATATATATATATACAATTATATTTAACTGACTAAAAAGTGAAAAAGAAAAACTCTGTAGGAGAACAAATATGTTTTTACATCACAACAAAATCAGTCTGTGTTCCAGGTCATGTCTTTATTCCTCACCAGTTATTTCCAGTTAACTTTGCATTGTATTCCACCAATGTCACCTAACTATTTTTTCCTCTTTTCTTTCACTCATTTGAGGAGAGAAACCTGCTTTAATCAAAGTCATTCTCACATAGCAATTAGATCTAATTAGTCCAATTATCAAGATTCTAATTACATTAAAAAATACCCCCTAAATCTCATATCAATTATGGTATGTGTGACGTGTCCTGATCTGGAGACAGGAAAAGACACTGAGTGGAGACAAAGCTCGGTGGAAGGTGCAAAAACAGGATCCTCCAGAGGACTAGTGACGGAAGACTCAGTTGGTCCCAAAAGCATTTATTATAAGATGGTTTGGCAAAGTGGGGATTGATGTCACGTAACCTTTACTCAACCGTCTCGTTTTCTGGAGGATTTTGTCTCTGACTGTGAGGCTGTGTTTAGTTACGTGTTTTCCATCAGATGGATTTGCAGAAATCACACAGGAACCTGTTTGTTTTAGAGCTGAAGCTTCAAGTCCGACAATAACATTTGATAAGACTGAATACATTTTTATGTTAGAAATAAGTTCGATTAAAGTCAAGGTCAACTTTTTCATCATGATGAATGCACACATGCACACACATAAACATAAACACATAAACAGGATTGCACAGTTTGCATCTATTATAGTGCAATATGACACTAGGTGCACAGCAAAACACACACACACACACACACACATAGATGCACAGACTGTTCTCACTGTGGAGTCACAAGGAACACACTGACCTAATTTCCCCCAGTTAGCTCGCCTCGTTGGGGACCAGTGTTCCTCTCCACCCGTTTCCCCC